CTGGGCTAGCTCCTTCTCACATCCAGAGAGGAGCAGCCCTTCTATGTGAAGGGCTCCCAATGCCCAGCAAGCCCCCTTCCAGCGCTTAGCAGGCTAAGCCTGCTAAGCYGGTTTRTTACCRCGGCTGGCAGGCGAGGCCGGCAGCCRACGGCCTCAACGGCTGCCCTATCCAGCCGGCCTCGACGCCTTCGCCCCCGGGTCCTTGGCACATAAKCCSTATGGACCCTAAACCATTCTTTCACGCCACCGTCCTTGTCGCGGCGACCCSTTTTTGGCCTKATTAGGCCCTGAATCGCGCRGCTTAACAACCGCGCGACCTCACCATAGGTAGCCTAGGCTTTAACTTTAACTTTYCCTTTACCGCTCACTATTGCGGTCTCGTCGAAACCTGCGGACGRCATTGCTGACTCCCGTTATCCCGCACRGATGTCGATGTCGTYCTGCGTCGACGACGTTAGGTAAAAAAAAAWTCRGTCTCTCAATCATAGCGCTGGTCTAAATAAACCTTGGCAACGTCAATCTYGTCAAGTCCTTCAATTTAGTGAAAAGGTCAGACAGCATCCGACATTAATAAACACGGGCAGATACCCTTGTCAGGGTTTCTGCCCCGACAGCATTCCCAGGCCCCATTGAACGACTTCCACGTCGTTCACGTGGTCGGTACTTCTCAACATAAATTTTTACAAATACCTCTCTTAGTATCTTTCAATCTTAATAAACTCACAGATACTTTAACAAGCGGATATCYGAAAAAACGGACTCCTTACCATTAAACGARTTATGCCCTCGAAGCCAAAATTTACAATCATGCTGCATTCATCGGTTGGGTACCAGATTCAGCCCCTGGAAGCCCAAAATTTTGAAACTCAGGCCCAGATTCAGCCCCTGGAAGCCCAAAATTCAAAGGACTAAGTTTTCATGGTTCTGGCTAACAAAATTCACTTRGTTGGAAAACACTACTTTAATCATCTGGGSAAGCAACCATCACYGYCGGGAATTTAACCCGRGTCTCTCATGTTCATGGGGATGCATCCACAACACCTCAACACACTCACGTGTCGCCAGGACTTTAACATGGACCTCCCACGTAACACAAGGATACTCGTACTATACTACAGTCACGGTTGTCGGGGATGATAATAGCAAGGCTCCGACTTTCCACCATCCCTACTGGAAGTCCCATATTAACCTTCAGCTAGTTCCCAGAATGAGTTTGRMATAACCCCTGACAGRCCTCCATAACCCAACCTATGATAATCATTCAGACATGATCTGAACTAGCCATTCAATACAAGAACCTTTTATTTAAGTCCTTTACCTGAGTTCCATAACCCATCCGATCGTGCAACTTTACAAATACCCAGGATTATTATGTCCYAATATCCCCAAACTCTATGTGACTGCGTCGAGGAGTGGTGTAATCCTCCACAAAGGATAACATCTCGACATCAAGCCCCGCTTTAKATTCGAGTYTCACCACATTCCCTTCGATTCCAGTATCGCAACCCTGTTAATGCCACGCCTACAAGGCKAGACAACCCCATCCATATAATCCAAGTTGGTAAGACGAGGATCATAAGGACGCGGCGACCTTGCATATCACAAGGATAGACGACCAACCCCACCCCTGTGATAAGCAGCGATCGYTCYCCGCCATAGGCGAGGTTYCAACAGGATTACGACACCATCCTCCTTTTCGGTGATAGTGTAGCCATCGCCCTCTTTCCAAGATAAATGACATCATCTCGTTGTGGACCAGGAACCAAGTTCCGGCACGAGCCTCACTATCACCTACAAGGCTCACATCTTTCAGGAATATCAAGACACAATAAGGACTAGGTATTACATATAAACTTATTATATTTATTAAACCATGTGCCTACAGAACGAATACTTATCGTTCAGGAAGTCACATGTTTCAAAAAAATATACACATTTTACACATTAAGTCATGACTTTGCACAAATGATTCAAATCAATCCCTCACAAGCAAAACTCATTCCACATAAGAAATAAAAGAGATGTATGCTCAGAGAATCATCTTTACAAGGCTTGAAAAAATTATTATGCACATCAATTATCTTGCTCGAGAACAAAGAATAATGACAAAAATGACATCTACAAGTAATTCATTACAGGTCCATATGTGTCTGTCCATTACATGGAAAGTATATCTTACAAATACTTAATCATAGAATCAGGTTAGCCTGTGGTATCAATATTTGTTAAGAAAAAGTAAGGCATTTTCTAGTCCCTATGAACAAACTTCTTCAAGCGTGAGCCCGAAACCCAATCTCGCCCACGTGCTTCATCCATCTCCTCAATCTCGTATGCCCCATGCTCTGTTTTCTTAATGATACGATACAGTCTCATCCATCGATTATCTAGTTTCCTCGACCACTGCTTTTCAAAAGAAGAGTCAAARAGGAGGACAATATCCYCCACTTCCAACGGTTCCTTCCTAACCCGRGGTTGCTTATCCCATCTAACTTTGTCCGCCCGYCTGCTGTCCGCAGTTGAAGCAGCARCCTCTACAACTCGTTCCTCAGTAACTTTTATCTGTCTGGCTCTCAGGTCCAACAATTCTYCTGTAGAAAGYCCGACTTTCATATCCTGTTTYTGCCATGTGGTTAGSAAACTSTCGATYGGAAACGTAGCATGTCGTCCAAACCATAACGTWAYAGGAGCATATCCAGTRRTCCGTTTTACGGTTATATTTTYAACAAATATGGCAGCTCTGAGATAGACGGGCCATGTTGACGRCTTGCCTGCACACCATTTAGCTAGCAAATTAGTCAAGGTGGCATGYCCACGTTCGACYGGAGCMTTGKCSTRGGGGTGTGCTCTAGTAGTATAACTATAGTTCACTCCCAGCCTTTTCATGAGAGCCTGAACCTCTTCTRCCCGAAATTCGCCGCCTCGATCCATCACAAATTTTCGAACAAATGGATACCGAAGGTAGAACTCTTCGATACACTCTGCCAAAATCTTCCYRCTTCGCTCACRGATTGCACGCCCATCAACGGACCCGGTAAGATTGTCTCTCGCATCAAAAATATACTTATACCCATTGAGCCCGGATGGCATAACGACCAGGTCGAGGTGCACAACCGCACCTAGCTCAACCACATATCGTGGATTAAGTGGCTTAGCATAGCGGAGATTCGAACGCTTCTGACAGGCGACGCACGAGTTGCAGAACTCTGCCACCATCTTACCCATACCGTCCGAAAAATAGAGATGTTGGATTTTTCTCAATGTCACTCGTGCAGATCGATGTCCACCTACCACTCCATCATGTAGAGCCGCAATCACATCCAATTGTCTGGGAACTCCGCACACCACTCTCTTAGGCATACCATCGTCAGACTTTCTAAAAGATGCCCCTATCGAATGACAAAATTTTTTGCCTTCTCTCTTATTTCTGGCTCTATCTCTGCCTCGTTCAGGTCCCCATTCAACCAGAGCCCAATCTTCTTATAAGTCTCATCATATTCTTCCTCGCGAAAGGCTTCTTTGATCTCACTGCCTTCCCCTTCTTCCAACATTAACCTGTCGCGATCCTCCTGTATTAACGAATTAACGAGAAATATCATTCCCGAGGAGGTCCTGAGGACTTCGTCGTCTTGCTTATGTCCTCCTTCAATCGTAAGTGGCTCTTCTAACAGTCGTACCGGATCCGACAATGCCAACCTCATCATTTGCTCAGCAGATCGTTTGCCCCAAGGATCCTCCTCAATAAAGAGTTCTCTCCTTACAAGTTCTGAACGTCTTTGATAACAATTCGACGAACTCCAGATAGACTTCCCAGGTCGGGATGAGGCATTAGTGATGTACTCCCAAACATTGATACTTAATTGTTGCTCGTCCGCCTCCAAGAACCCATCCACAGGAACCGAGTCTTCTGCCTGATCTTTTGAGGAGTCCCACTCGATCCGACTCAATCCGTCGGCTCGATTTTGTGTTCCCGCAATACGCTCGATCTCGAAATCGAACATCCAGATATAGATCAACCATCGAGCAATAGTTGGATCCGAGGGAGAAAAATTCTTCAATGACTGCGTCAGGGCGATCGGATCAACCCGCAGGACGAACCATCTTCCAAACACGTAGTTTCGGAAGATCCTGAAGCAATGAAGCATTGCAAGAATTTCCTTTTTAAATTGGGAATACTTCCGTTCTGCCTCATTCAGCGTTCGACTTTCAAATCTCAATGGCCTTTCTCGCCCTTCTCCATCCTTTTGGATGAGGACACCACCCAATGTTGTGGGGCCTGCATCTGTTTCAACCACAAAGGGCCGATTCGGGTCATTGTCAAAGTACGGAACCCCCAGGATCAACCCTCCTTCTCGGAATTGTGCCTTGATGTCGTCGACTGCTGCCTGCTGCTTTGGACCCCATTCCCGTTCCTGAATTTTACGCACCAACTTCCATAGGTGCTCCACCCTTGCTGCAAACTTGCGAATGAAGATGCGCCAAAATCCGCAAGTCCCCAAAAAACTGCGCACATCAGTGATGGACTTAAGCGAGTCGGTCGTTCCAGAATCTTGTTTGTCTTCTTGGAATCTGGCCGACGACCCTTCTCATCGCACAAGAAGCCCAAGATAGTTGCCTTACGCATACAATGCCGAGATTTGACACCGCTGGCGGTGAGGTTGTACTTCTTTAACTTGGACAGGACCTTCTCCACATTACGGACGTGCTCCCAAACAAACTTTCGAATGCCTGGCAGCACCTCCGTCTCATCCCTCACGCGCGGTCCAGGTATGGCCAAGTCATCGATATAAGGTGAGGTCACGTCCGGACAAAGTGGCTGCATGACTCTCATCATATACATCTGAACAATCGCTACGGCGTTCATCCATCCCTGAGGCGCCGCACACATATGAATTAATCCCCTCGGCGTATGCATGGCCGTCATCGGCCTGTCTACCGTGTAGAGAGGGAATTGATCATATCCTAAGTACAAGTCAATGAGAGTGATGATAGGTCTGCCTGCGCACGACTCAGACAGCTGATCGGCATGCGGAAGTCCCCCGGCATCACGAACCGTCACTGAGTTCAGCCTCTGTAGATTCTGCACCCATCGCAATACGCCACTTGGCTTGATGAAACAAAACCAAGGGGACGCATATGGTCCATACGAGTAATCCGCGACCTTTGTTTGGATTTTACTGTCCAAATATTCAACGACTCTACGGTGATCATCCGGGTTCGGATAACGTGGGCCTCGTATGTTCCACGGCTCGTGAGGTACCGTATGAATTCTGATAATTGGGATCATGTCAACGTCAAGCCTCCCTCGCTCATCATCATCGAAGGCATAAGCCAGATGAGTTTTCTTCATGACGCTGACAAGGAAGTCCACCTCCTTCTCAGTAAGAGACCCTTCCTCTCCAATGATCATATTCTTAATCCTCTCCTCCGTCAATCGACATGGCGCCTTCATACTCTTTTCTTTCCTCATCCTGATCCATTCTCTCTCCTCTTTATAGTACACTTCTTCCTCTTGCGTGATCAAGACGGGAACTGGCCGAGCTTTCTCGCCTACTCTCTTGTACTTACGTTTTGCTCCAACTCCAAATTGTCCACCTCTAAAAAAAGCCCTTGCTTGGCTTCTGGCTCCGTCAATACATCACCTTCTGAAGGTCTGTTGGACCGATAAGTAAGATACATCCTACCAGTCACGCCTTCTCCTGCCACAATCTCTGTCAATGTTTGGACCAACTTGGGATCCACAGACGAGTCTGTCGCAATGAACTCGATCGCTTGAGAGATGTTGGGTAGAGCAAGAGAAAATTCCTGGGGATCGCTCTCTTCTCCGAGGGATTCCTTCTCCCTTCTGAGTCTTTCGGATTCCGTGAAAGAGTAGGACCCCGGATTGAGTCGGTTCCTTGAGTTGGTTAGTCCTGTGTTCTCACACTTCAGCACCTCGTAATAGCCACATACGGGGTCACACAAAACCACGATCATAGTACTATCGTGCTTGTTAAAGATGATGGATTCTGATCGACATAGAAAAGCTCTGCCCAGCAACACGGCATGCTCAACCCTGGGTAGCACATAGAAATAAGAACGGACTTTGACTTTACCAACTTGTACCATCACGTCACTCGCCGTTCCGCAAAAGGGAGTTATCCCACTTGCACCCACCAGAAATCCAGTATCTGCTCGATTGATGTTAACTCCTGCCCCCATGGCTTCTCTTTCCCGTATAATGTTCGTTTCAGCTCCATCATCGATGAGAGCTGATATTCGCATGGCACCTTCAACAATCCAGTAGCTATACAGTGCCAGTCCATTTTTATCCCAGGCGGAGCCCAACTAATCTCTTGAGGAAAGATATCACTCATCTTAACCGTCATCACCTTTTTCCTTGACAGTCGGTGTCTGAACTCCTCTCGGATTTTTGGTAACGCGGCCAAGAACTCCTTGAGCGTGAACAAATCGCGCTGACTCTCCAAAAATTGTGTAAACTTCCTTCTTCTTCTTCAATTCTCCTTCCCCAGCATCGGCCTTGCCCGTTTCTGGCTCCCTCTCCATAGCTCGTTGTTTGGCTTGCCTCTCATCTTCGGCTCGCAGTAATTCATCCTCCTCGCCATCGTCTTCTTCAATCGAAATCGTTTCGGTTTCCCGAGGCTGACTTGACCCTTCTTCCTATGATGCCCTCTGTCGCGACGGCCTTCGAGCCCTCCGAGTTTGTGGGAGGCCAGCTATGGCAGGTCGCTTAAAAGCAGGACGGGACAAGATTGTGGTGGCCATCAACCGCCCTGCCGATGGCAATCCAGGCTGTGATGCGGTAACATCAGTAAGACCTCCTTGGCCGTCTCTGTCCCATCCTCCAAACAGAAAACTTAGGGAAGCCCGGACCATTCTTCATTCATGTCGGCGCATATTTGAACAAAAGCTTCCCTGCATCGAGTCATTTTTCTGACCACTGCTTGAGCTCGCTGCAGTATCTCTTCCTGCTCTTTGCTCAGCCCTTCATCTCCGGCCTTGGCATCCTCAAATGTCAATGACTCCATCGTCGCTTCCAGCTAAATCTGTTCGACTTCTTCTGGAGAAGCCAGTCGAAAGTTGCTGGAAGATCTCGCCCCAAACGTCGGAAAGCTTCCTTTCTCATTCCTCCCTCCACATTGGGATCGATGAGATTCCCTTCGAAGTCGTAGACCTCACCTYGGATATTCGCATATATAACCTTATCGTTTTCATCTTTGGTAACGGCCTGACAAAACCGTATCCCATGCCCATCTAGGCCACAATACTTGCAAAACCAATTCTSCCAATTACCTCGGCCGCCCCCATTTCCTCGGCCTCCCCCAGTGCCTTGTCCTCTACCTTGACCTAGGCCTCGGCGTCCTGCCTGAGGTTGGGGTTGCTGAGGAGGGGTCTGCGCMGTCTGTTCCTGGTTGCTTCCTTGTCCACCTCCTCCATTATTGTTTCGTTGCTTTTTACTAGTGCCTTGCCCTCCTTGTATTTGATTTAGGGCCTTCCGTTCTGCCTTGGTCAATTTTCGAGGAGGCTCCKCTTCCTCCTCGTCTTCCTCTTCACTGCTGCTACTACYCACTTCCTCCGCAACGGGTGCTTTGCCCTTCCTTCTCCCACCTTTTGTCTGGACCATCATCACCTGTAGCTTTAGCCTTTCCTCCTTCATGTCCGCCATCATGTTCCGCATGTCAGTCAGGGTTTTGTAAACGGCTTGATCCTTGTCCGCGCTTACCCCTTCCTTCTCACGGTCCTCCTTTTGCTGCTTCAGGAGACGGTAAAGCATTTGGTTGAAACTTCCGGCCAACAGATTTTCCTTTATCTTTGGCAAGTCGTATCACCACGTCATGTCCTTCATCAGTTCTCGCTGCTCAACTTCTGAAAAATTTTCGAGGAAGATGAGGCACCGATCCGTATCTGGAAGGTCAGGCACTAAGCGCGCAACCCGCTCAAACTCCGTAAGAAACTGCTTGGCCGTACCAAACTTCCGACGACTAACCTTCCGTTAGTCCGCCAGATTCAGCAGTTGATCCCCCAACTGGTACTTGTTCAATAATTTGGCRTTCAAGTCCGGCCAGTCGCGCGAAGCTTGCACCGATTCCGACACCTCCTCTTTGTACTCAACCATACAATATCGCTTCACCATTTGAAGCATCTCCTCACTCGACCATTCGCARCAACTGCCCAATTGTTCAAACTTGTCCGGCCATGCTGAGGCATTGGTGCCATCGAAGAGGGGAACTTGAACCTTCGGCAGCTGTGCCTTCTGATTATCAGCCTCACGAATGGCTCGTGCGAGTTCCAGAATATCATTGYATCGATCCCCTGAATTACTATTTGCGGGATCARCATTTCCTCCCGTCATCTTGAGTGAATCAACACGACAAACCCACTCATCCAAGTGTCAAATAGATTCCAACAATTCACTCCAAACCTTGCCTTCTTTCTTTTCCCAGACATTAATAACCACTGACTACTTTCAATCCAAACAAATAATACACAATACTTAAAATCACCATAACCATCCTTTTTCCCGAGTGTCATTCCACCAGGGACGACGGTAGTTCGCCGTCATCCCCGGCAACGGCGCCACCTGTCGATCGCATCGGCCCTCGCGTGAACGAGGGCCTTCCCGGCTATGTCACGCAGGAGTAAGAAAAACATAAGCGAGAGACAACTAAGGACGATGCAAAAATAATCCCGCGAACCGCCGAGACGGACGAGGTCGCATTGTCCCTTCGCCGCTCTAGCCTGGTGCGCCATCTATACATYCAGCGGTCCCCTACGACAAGATAGGTTTTCGCGGGGCACAACTTATCTTCCCTAAGGGGCTTTCACCACCCTTAGAGGCGTATCCCCGCCGAGCTACCGACCCACGTGMGAAAGCTTTTACATACAATTGCAGAGGTAGGTCAGCCGAGGGCATTTGCTCGCTCGCTGGAGTATAGGTACGCTTGGTTAACGCCAAGTGGACCCAAACGTCGTCCGTTCTCGAGGGCGCTGATCTCCTCGGTAAGAACAAGCATCGGTCGATTAAGACGGCCTCGACCAAACATGAAATCCAATGTATAATCCCAGTACCGTTATAATCTCATACTTGTAAACAACATTTCGACTTGACGAGACGACCTGCCAAGGTTATCATTTCGTGCCTGCATGACCAGAGAGACAATGCTGCTGCCGTTCGAAGACGGAAGATCCGTCACGCACAACTTATATAAATAAACACCGCTGGTACCATGCAGATCAACAAGTGATCTGGCTCCTGGTCGGTGTTTGAACTCCCGGTTCGACCATATTGCCGTACTGCATACATCTATTCGGGGGAGCGACTGACAATTCTGTCGGTCGATTCATCCTCCTAGGCAATAATTACTCTCTCTGTTCCACGAATGACGAAGTACCCATCCCCAACACCAGATACTTGGCATGGAGATATTTCATCTCCTGATACTTCGCCCTCGCCCTTTTGCTCGACTCATTTTTCAGCGATCGATTACCCCTCAATGCATAAGCATGATAGTGCCATCATCGGGGTAATCCAGATACTATCCATCTGGTTGGCCTACCTACACAAGGTCGTTGTTTTTTTTTGTTATTATTGCCCCTGTAGAGTCACATAGGCGTGACCCTACTATAAGAACAACTCACCATGACACCAGATTTGAGAGGGTGCGCTTAGCCGAGATAAACCTGTCGGCCCTCATGGGCCTCGGCCTCTATCCGGCCGAGTCGTGTTAGCTCCTCGTCGTCAAACGTCAAGGTGGAGACACATCCGCCTCGCACAACTTGGATCTTCCGCGTATCATAGAGAGAAGCCATCCGTGAGGCGAGCTTCCAGACTATGGCGCGGAACGGCTGACGCATCCGAAAAAGGTGCGTGGTCGTGGTGTCCTTAATCCGGATGACGCCGTAGCGCTTCCCGGATAGGGTAATTTTAACGTTCACAATGACCCGAGAGAGGTATTGGAGGTTGCTCGCGCGATGGAAGTACAAGGTATATCCATGAACTTCTCCCGGAAGTCGGGTCACATTGGCTCGAACGTCTGCGCGCGAGTTGGGAAAGAATCCCTGCCCATCGTTGAGCAGGCCGATAAAACCAATCCAGCGTGTGGGTGCTCCATCCCGCACCAATAATAATCGCTCCGCTCGCCGGATCTGCTCCTCGTCCGTAGTGTCGCAAATCAGTAGATATCTGGCCTGAGTAAGATCTCGCCGTCCGCCGGACAGCTGCACACCGAAAGAGCCGCCTGTCAGAAGAGGCACTCAAAGATTTCACAAGCCTCGTCATAAAACGCGGTGACGTATAAACGTTCCGAGTGAATGATATTAAATTTATTCGCTCGGACCCGTCTCACATGATGAAGAAGGCTGAATGGTCCTTGGGAATCGTTCAAATGGAGTACAATATGGAGGAACATCCCCCTAACCTCAGGAATGTTCTCTACTCCCGAACAGTCCTCGTAAACCACAACTAGGTTCATGTCTCCGTAATCCCGTGATGGAGTAGGAGGTGCAAAATCATATTGCACAATACGCTGGTCTGGCTCAACCAAGAAAACATAACTCTGCGGTGGTTTCCTCACGCTTCCGTCCCAGAATCGTGGCCCATCCCGTTCCGAGTAAACCTCAAGGGGGTTGTACACCAGCCTTTATTTTCGTGTCATGCCGGCGCGGGATCGTGTCGGCACCGCTAGCCAATTAGCCGCCGCCTCGCGTGTGCTGAACAGTCAGAGGATCAACGTTTCCACAAGCATCTGAACGACGAAGCGGTAACTCTGTCAAAGTAAATTTAGATATACCCGTTTTCATATTCAATCCCCACTCCCCTTTTTGGACCGTGATTCTTGTGTCACGGTCCGTCCTCGAAAGTAGTGCCTATTTGCACTTCTTTTAACTCTAGTTGAGCCACGGGCTGGGCTTCTTATGGTGCCAGCCCTCCCTCGCGTTGGTGGCACCTAATATGGCCACCCAGCAGGGTACTAGATTCAGCCTCCCCTTTCCGTGAAAGCACGAGGAGGCGACTGCTCCTAGCTTCAAGACCCCCTACCCTCTAGGAAGTGGTCTGGAATACCCCTCCCCCTCGCCCGAACACATTGTTCAGGACTCAGAAGTTGGGCTGGCTCCACCGCAACAGCATGGTATCCCCCCGCATAAGCGGTCCGCTCCGAGCCGCTAACAGGGCCGGCCCCTAAGGCAACGAACCCCCACCTCGGATGCCTCCTAGAGAGAAGAAGCTTAGACCCTAGGTGCAGACGACCGCTCTATGCCTTCCCGGCTAAGGGTCGACTTAGACGAATTAAGAAGAGAAAGAAGTAAAATATTTTTAGACGGGAATAGGAGGATAATGGTCGTTCGGGATCGAATTGGGAAGTCCTTGGGAAGATACTAAGGTGTTCCCTTGTCTTCTCTTCTTTTGATTTTCCCACGGCCTTCGTTCTTCCGGCACCCGTCCGTTCGCACTCCCGTTATATTTTTTTGTTCCTTCTCTTTTCCGTCACATGCGTTCAGGTTGAGAGGGAGAAAGGTAAGTATCCCCATTATTATCTCGACCAAACAATGCTGATTCCTCCTCTCATGCATCCCCCAACCTACCTGCACAATCAAGAAAGAAACAATCAAGAGATTCATCCATCCCTCAAACAAGTCAGCCCTTTCTGCACACGCATGACATCACACTCTCACTCTACCCTTTCCCCTGAATTCAAAGCAAGGTCATGCAAGGTGTGGGTTCACGCGGGTGTGCAAAGGAGCTGRGTYGCACTGACCTTGAGTGGATTTCTTGAAGGCTCACTCAAGAAAGTCAAGTATTTGCTGAAAAAAGTTCAGTCGCAAAACTCTCGTTGTGGCCACTCACAAGGATGGGTCATTCCCTCCTTCAACCGCCACCTCTGACTCAGGCGCCGCTCACCAACACAGAAGCGAGCCCGCCGTTGAGGAGGGCGTCACACTCTCAAATCCCACAATCTCAATGTCACACCTTCCACCAAAGACAGCACCGATTCGACCCACCAAATACCAAGCCAGGCCACCACCTGCCTGCCGCAATGCTTGGTGGTAACGGACCCAATCCTCGCTTACTCAGTGTGCCGCAAAAAAATAACAGCGGCCTTAACAGTCGTTACAGGTACCGCGTGCCGCAACGTCCTCAACAAAACGATCACCACACTCTTYTTATCCCAAGGTGTACTTCCACCTCGGCGGTACCGTCCCTGCGGTAACGTCTAACCCCCSTTTTCGCAGTCTTGTGCAAAAAATACTGTTGCCACAAAATCTRGTAGCGCYCTCGCCGTACCGCCAAGAGAATCCGCGCTGCCGCCGCACTATTTCGGCAGCGCTTCCGCCGTATCGCCAAGAAGATTAGCGCTGCCGTCTCAAGAATTCGGCAGCGCTTCCGCCGTCCCACCAGGAGAACCAGCGCTGYCGCCGCACAATTTCGGCAGCGCTTCCGCCGCACCACCCAATCCAGCRRCMGCCTCCCRGCTATRGCTCCCYCACAGCCWGCAGCACAGCACAARAGGTGGGGCAAGAAGCTCCCAGCCTCTAGCTATGGCTGCCTCCTCCTTCCTCCAAGTGCTACCGCAGACCTCCAGCACTTCGCCTCATCACACCAGCAGCCAGCCAGCCAGCATCTACTCAAGTAGAATGCCCCAGC